GACAAATTTTTTTTTCAAATTCAAATTTTTAAAGAATAGGATTTAGAATTTTATGTGAGCCAATATAGAACCCATTTTGAGTTATTGACCTCTCTTTCTATTACTTACTAGCTTTCCGCCCGCGGCATCGCTCGCGTGGAATTTTGTCTGTTACAGAAAAACAATATCGCGCGCGTATTTGCTCACCGTTTAGACCTACCCTGGACTACGACAAACATTTTAAAACCAAAATCAGCTCAATCGGCCCAGCCGTTCTCGAGTTTTAATCAGACTAACGAACATCAATTCATTTTTATTTTTACACCGTGTTACTTTGCATTCTTGCCATATTCAGAGAGATAAAAGTAGGTAACAATACCTATTATTTAAGATAAACAAGAGACTCCCATAAAGAAAGTGCACTAAGATTTTAGTAAATTTGTAAAGTAAAAAAGTCTCCATCGCCATCGCCAACAAGTGATGTGCATGCGTTACGATAATTAGTGGTGTGTTTAACAGATTGTCGATAAAATAAAATACTCAAGATTAAAAAAAAATTTTTTCGGGCATTATTTTTTTACGGATTTGTGTTCAGTATCAGTAATATAGTAACCTCTGTAAATATGGCAACAATGCAAAGTAACACCCTGTATAGATAGATTAATTCATATCTGCGTGTCTACTTTAAACATTGAATCATCTTTCGACACGTGTCATTGTTTTGATAAAGGATTTTTTGGTGTTTCTTATTCTGCCATAGAAAAGATAATTGTTTTGGGGCTGATATTTCACCAATTGTAGGTATGGAAATATGTCAAAATGATTTTGTTCTTGAGATAAAAGTTAATAAATAAAACAAATAATAAATAAATATCCTTAGACATTTTATACTGCGCTTCTAGTCCCAAACTAAGCAAAGCTTGTACTATGGGTACTAAACAACGGATATAAACATAATTAAATACTTTTTTTGTAAATACATACTTATTATACATAGAAAACACCCAGTCCAATACAAACAACTATGTTCATGCACACAAATGTTTGTACTGTGCGGGAATCGAACCCGCTACCACTTCGAATCACTACACCAAACGGCCGACAATACAAACCTAGCATTTAAAGTCTCGCATAATATTGTATTTAATGCGCGTTGAACTTTCTTCTCTCACTCTCTCTCATATTAATTAAATTGTTATTTAATTTGAAATCTACCTAATCAATTTAATTTCAAAAACCACTTACAATAGTGTTAAAAATCTAGATTTATTATAGATTCAGTAAAATAATAATATTTTATGTAATAATATCAAATAAATGTAATTTTAAATATAGTTCCATATTTTAATGAATTTTACTAAATCAATATCAACTAAACACACTCTAGTCAAGTGTAAGTGGTGTAGTAGAAACTAATCGAGTATAGTTTGGAGATGACTTTTTTTACTAAGCTCCTCCAAACTATACACGATCAGTACGCAAAAAAAATCTGCTTTTAAATTCGTGTTTTTTTGGTTATTTGATAAATTTCTCCAAAAAATGCCCCTATAACAGGTGGTTTTTATTACTTTGTATTATTCTCTATCGTATTATCTTTGTAAAACCAAAAATCGCATGTCTCTATCCCTATCACAACATTTGCTATGATCGTTTGAACAAAGGCCTGCCACAACATTATTCTCCGCTTCAGGTAGAGACAATTTTAATTTTAACTAAAATGCTTATTTTACTTCGAAATCTTTTGTTTTTATTTGAAATCTAACTTGTCTTTATCAAAATTACAAATCTAGTGCCATTTTCAGTTTCGTTGTTAACGAAGCGTTGGATGGCGCGCCCGGAGAGGCTTAGTTCAAACGATAATTGCAAACGTTGTGATAGGGATAGAGACATGCGATTATTGGTTTTACGAAGGTAATACGATAGAGAATAATATAAAGTAATAAAAACCACCTGTTATAGGGGCATTTTTTGGAGAAATTTATCAAATAACCAAAAAAACACGAATTTAAAAGCAGATTTTTTTTCAAAAAGTGTCATTTTTTATTATTTGTTGGCCTTTTTTGTGTATTTTATGTATTTTTTTAGTATCGCCTGTTATTTAGCATTATTACTGTCTTATTTTATCAGGATATACCGCTTAGTTTAAAAGTTATTACGTTTTCTTTACAATAAAAAATTGGAAGAAAAAAAATTCTATAAAAAATTTAAAAAAAAACTCAAAAAAATTTTGACCTCTTTTTTGTCGATAAAAATAGGTCTAGTTTCATCTATTTTCATATGTACACTTCATAGGACTAGCTTTCCGCCCGCGGCTTCGCGCGCGTGGACAACTGAACCCAATTTTTTTCCAAAATAAAATTTAGCCTATGTTACTCGTGGATAATGTAGCTTTCGAATGGTGAAAGAATTTTTAAAAACGGTCCTGTAGTTTTTGAGCCTATTCATTACAACTGAACAAACAAACAAAGTTTTCCTCTTTATAATATTAGATTAGATTAGTGTAGATATTAGTATAGACCAGCGGTTCCCAAACTTATTTAGTCTACTGCCCACTTTGAGAATAAATTATTTTTAGCGCCCCTCATTTTTGTAGTCAAGAGTCGAGCTCAGTCGGTGTCTAAGAGTCCTCCTAGTAGATGACGCCTCCCAAGCCTCTACACAACGTCCTGATTTTTTTTCTGGGTCTCTTACCGCCCCCCTTTAAGCCTGCAGCGCCCACAAGGGGGCGTTATCGCCCACTTTGGGAAAGACTGGTATAGATAAAGCAATAGACCAGGAGTTATTAGAAGCACAGTCACTATCAGATATCGTTTACCTGGACGATTCCACGTTGCCCGGGCCGCCGGTGGCAGCGGCGCCGTGCGTGAACATCTCGCGAGGCCACACGCGCCGCCCGCCGCCGGCCGGGCCGCCGCCGCTTAGCGATACTGAAGCGGGCTCGGGCGCACATCTGGAACCGTTGAATTATACAGGGTGTTCAAGAAAATATATCAAGAGGCAAACAAGAGAGCATCCGAAGAGCCATAATTACTAACTTGAATTGATGAAGCTGTTGTGTCTGGAGACAAAAGCTCCGAAAACAAAGATTATAAAATCGATGTCAATCTTTTTTCCTCTAATGGATAAACTTTTTGTGGATGACAGGGAACAAGGAAAGAAAGAAAGAAAGAAACATTTATTACAATGGACATCACACAAATACAGGCAATTACATAGACATGACAGTGGCACATAATAATGGAATAAGAAAAAAATAAATAAAAACAAGAGTAAACTGAGCAGTGCCACCCATCCACCAACAAGATGCCCACTGCTACGGGACCCCACTCAGCATATTTTGTTACCATGTTTCTGAGCAAATAAACGATTTATTATTATTATTATTATTATATGCCGTGGCCCACGGTGACGAAGGCCACGGCGCTGGTTTTCAGTGTGCCCCATACCGAGTGAGGGTCACGGACCATTGGTAAAAGAAATAAAATAGTAAGCTCCATAAAATTGTCTAGATAAACATACATAAATAGTAAAATTAGTATTAGAAAGGGTAGTTCAAAAGATCCCAATGCAACCCATTGCTATCAGAGTCGAGTCAAAGTTAGTTTGTTTCAACCAAAGATCGTCCACTGCTAGACAATGGCCTCCCCACGGATTTCTACAACATCATGATCTAAGTTCTTTTAAACTTCTACGACATAAATGATTTCTTAAAAGTCTACCGTTACAAACTTATGACAAACTTATAACAACTTATTACCCTTTACTTTATAGAACCGTTTCAAATACTTACTACTAACACTGCTTCGTCTCAACACTGGCTAATTTGTGGTCTCGCGGCAGTGGTGTTTTTAAAGTACTGTTTTTAAATACTGGGAAGTGTAAAAAGGCATTTTAAAAGTCTACTTGCAAAATAAATCAATTTGAATTTGAACTCACTCTGCTCTCCGCAATAACAGCGAGTCCAGATGCGCCGGCGCGGTATGCGACATGTGGATATACGCTTCATGTAGAAGCTCTCCTGGTAACGTCCACAGCTCCGTCTGCCGCTCCACCAGTTGTCGCACTACGTTGATCACGTCTGCGCGCTCTGACAGCTGCTCTGCACTGGAAAAAGAAAGAAAAAGTTAAGAGTCTACTAGAGCCATGGCCTTCGTCACCGTGGATTATAACATGCTGGCTGGGTGAGGTCCCATTATAAAATGACCGTAGCAGTTGCGACACCGCTTCACTAGAAACTTAATTTCAGGAATATTTCAACATGGTCCTTCGAGCCGGATATGTACCATCGGCCTGCGAGTTGTTACCGCTAGTACTCGGGAGCACACATTGGACCCTGAGCCTCAGGGTCATCCTCCGGGGGGAGGAGGTCCTCAGCAAAGCTGCTTTGAAGAGAGCCAGATACGGCATATGCGCGTGGTAAGCCCTGTGTGCACCTCATATCGCGCTGGTAGTGGTTACCATGTGGTTTTAGTGGGTAGGCCCCGCCTCTCTGGTGGAGAGTCCCACATTACCCCTGGCTGTCTCCGTAGCCTGGAGCATGTGCAAAACATGTCTGCATGTAAAAAAGATAAAAAGGTCCAAGGACTTAGGGACTCACTTGGCGGGGTCGTTAGGTTTATTTTTGTGCAGGATATTGGGCGCGAACACAGTGACATAGTTGGTAGCGTCCATCTTGTTGCTTTACCAGCGCTTGAGAGCACTCAAGAGATTTCACTCAAAGAAAGCACTCGGGACTCACTTGGCGGGCTCGTTAGGCTTATTCTTGTGCAGGATATTGGGCGCGAACACGGTGAAGAAGTTGGTAGCGTCCATCTTGTTGCCTTGCCAGCGCTTGAGAGCACACTAGCGATTTCCTCATGGGTTCTTTGCGCTTCCTCTTGTGCAGGATCTTATACCATGATAAATATTATAAGGTTGGCTTGGCAAAAGAAAACACTCGGGACTCACTTGGCGGGCTCGTTGGGCTTGTTTTTATGCAGGATATTGGGCGCGAACACGGTGGCGAGGTTAGCGGCGTCCATCTTGTTGCCGGGCTGCGCCGCGTCGTCCGCGTGCGCCGCGAGCTGCGCTAGGAACGACAGCAGCGCGTGCAGCGTGTCGCGGTGCGCCGCTGGCAGCAGCTGCACGATTAGTCGCAGCGCTTCCCACTGGAGTCTGCGGTTGCGGATTTCTGGAAGGATATTGAAGCTGGTTTCACTACTGGATCAGAGCTGTGACTAAGGAGCGTAGGCAACTTCTATTTAGTTTGGACTTATACTAAAGCTGTTTATTTAAAGCATTGGTTCCCAAACTTATTTGAGACGCGCCCCCTTTCGACCATGCAAAAAAATCCGCGCCCCCCTCCTCCAGTCAAGATTATCTAATGGTCGTATCGAGCAGTCTGGAATGCATTCTCTCAGCGGTCGCAGGTTTCTTACAAGGCTCCCCTTTAAAGATCTTTGCGGGGGGCGCGCCCCCCACTTTGGAACCAATGATTAAAAGTAATGAACTGCTCATGATACTTACATGATTGTCACTGGGTTAATCACGTTTATTTCGCTTGTGTCCTAGAGCACCAAAGGATTGTCTTTATGTGATTAACATTTCAACAATGCAATTTTAAAGTGATTATCTGGTATGAAAAACATCCTATGTCACGAAGGGTGCATAAAACCATTCATGTTAATAACCAATGCTCAAAATTATCTTATAAAGTGTGGCTATAGGATATTCAGCAATACCGATTCAAGGTTTCAAAACTTTAACCGTCACTTGCTTGTGGAAATCTTGAGTAGTATTTTGTCGTAAATGAAAAAGGACAAACTTGACTTTCACTGGTTGGGTTTTTATCTTGGCTACACAGGAGTAAGAGTGGTGGGAATAGTCCCGTAAATAAAAAGTATTTAAGCTCTAACTCACTCTGTGTATTAAAGAAAGCAGAGTACAAGTCCCTGCAAAATAGCTGGTTCGGTAGATCCCGCAGGAACTCCTTGAGCAACGCGACTATGTCGTGCGGGCACCACCACTACGTCCAGCGCCTTAAGCAGTTTCTTTTGATTAAAAAGTATAAGATCTAACCCACTCTGTGTATTAAAGAAAGCAGAGTACAAGTCCCTGCAAAATAGCTGGTCCGGTAGATCCCGCAGGAACTCCTTGAGCAGCGTGACTATATCGTGTGGGCACACCACTACGTCCAGCGCCTTAAGCAGATTCTTTTGATTAAAAGGTACAAGATCTAACTCACTCTGTGTATTAAGGAAGGCAGAGTACAAGTCCCTGCAGAGGAGCGGGTCCGGTAGATCCCGCAGGAACTCCTTGAGCAACGTGACTATATCGTGTGGGCACCACCACTACGTCCAGCGCCTTGAGCTTATTTCTTTTGATTAAAAAGTACAAGATCTCACTTACTCTGTGTATTAAAGCAAGCAGAGTACAAGTCCCTGCAAAATAGCTGGTCCGGTAGATCCCGCAGGAACTCCTTGAGAAGCGTGACTATATCGTGTGGGCACACCACTACGTCCAGCGCCTTAAGCAGTTTCTTTTGATTAAAAAGTAAAAGATCTAACCCACTCTGTGTATTAAAGAAAGCAGAGTACAAGTCCCTGCAAAATAGCTGGTCCGGTAGATCCCGCAGGAACTCCTTGAGCAACGTGACTATATCGTGTGGGCACCACCACTACGTCCAGCGCCTTGAGCTTATTTCTTTTGATTAAAAAGTACAAGATCTCACTTACTCTGTGTATTAAGGAAGGCAGAGTACAAGTCCCTGCAGAGAAGCGGGTCGGGCAGATCCCGCAGGAACTCCTTGAGAAGCGTGGCCACGTCGTGCGGGCACACCGCCGTGTCCAGCGCCGCCTCCTGGCCCCGCTCCCAATCTTCCCGTAGCTGGAAACGAACACGGCAAATTTTGTTAAAGAAGTTATGAAAAAACGAAAATAAGGAGTTCTCGCCTCTCACTTGAACTGGTGAACTGACGACCTGGCGAAGGTCGCGGGAAGCACATAGATACGGGCAGCGCTGGACCAGTTATTGTGGAAATTTTTGGGGAAAGTAAAGGCCTTACCTTGTGGAAGGTGTATAAACGGTTTCGGAAACTACGAGGTATTAAATGCTGAATGTTATTGAAAGTAAACTTAGATGGGAACAACACGATGGTAACTTAGCAAGTCAATTACGATGAGTAAATATAATAAAAATAAACTTTTTTAAAAACAAGCTTTTATTCTGAATTTCGAAAGTTTGTATCGCGCATGGAATTTATTCCTCTTTTTCTCTGTTTGCGCTATAGTCCAGTCATTTCGTCCGAAAAAAAGGCAAATAAAAGAAAATGAATTTGCGCTTCTAATTTTTTAATATGTTGTAGGGGATACCTAGAAAAGCTTAACTTGAGATTGTCGACCAAGCTTTCCTAGGAGCTTTCGCCGCCATCTTGGAAAACGCTTAAAATTTGTTTTTCGGCAATAACTCGGCTATCCGATGAGATTCGAAAATTTTTGTAGGACACTTTTTGTAGCTTTCTTTGTGCTCTACAATAACGCCCGAACCATTTTTAGCGTATCATGCATCGTTATCGAGATATCGATCGATAAAGTCAAAAATTTTGGACACAATTTTTGTTTTTTATAATAAAAATAAACTTTTTTAAAAACAAGCTTTTATTCTGAATTTCGAAAGTTTGTATCGCGCATGGAATTTATTCCTCTTTTTCTCTGTTTGCGCTACAAGCTTTCGAAATTCAGAATAAAAGCTTGTTTTTAAAAAAGTTTATTTTTATTATAATTTTATTTTACACTTTTTAGTTATATCTTAATCTCAGGACCCTGGACGTTATCTAACACTAAAGTGCTCGAAAAGACAAATCCAACGAACCCAAACTCTATGAGTTTCCGCCGTTTTGTTTAGGAGTTCCTATGGCCACCTCCCGACTCCATCATCAGACCAGCTCAATGGTACCATAATATTGCATTGTCATCGGACTTACACATGTATGCAAAATTTCAGCTCAATAGGAAACCGGGAAGTGGGTCAATTTTAAGTTGCAAGATTTGACGACAGACACCAGACATGTGAAAGTAATAAAAAGCTTGTAAAAATACGCGGGTTTGTCTTCGTAAGTGAGTATTACATACCTACATTTTATAGATGCCTAAAACGTATGCTTTTTCATGTCGTGTAAAGTAAACACACTTTATATCCAAACCACAGCGAACGTGCGATCAACAATAAACGGGCGATGTTTCCCAAACCTCGCTACAGTGTTGCCAGAACTTGCCAGCCCACGTCAGAGGTTTGTTTCCAATTCTGGGTCAACTGCTCGGCCGATTCGTTTGGGAAAACATCTAATTTCGGCTGTCAATGTTTTCCGCGGTGGTATAAGTACGGATCTTGGATTTCTGAGCTCCTTTCTGTCATAGCAACTGCTTTTATGTTTAGACTGTTTCAATGTAACTAGCTGCGTCGAAATAGGCAAGGAGGACATTTAGGTTATTTTCTAATAGCCTAACCTACGAGATTTTTTCCATAAATTCTGTGCCTAATATACGAGTGCATCTTAAGACTAACTAAACATCTTCGATCTCATGTCTTAGATTTTTTAATTTCGCTCCATACTAACACCTATCTTTTCTTTCTCTCCCCCATCCTTCATGTGTAGTTCACAACTTTTCATCTGACTTTTTTTGATCCTGTCTTCCAATACAACTGATACTGCTACCAATGTCATTAATGTCATTAACAATATGGTGTAATTTAGCCTGTCTCAAGAGTCAAGCACCATTTTGTTGAAAAACGTCAGTGATCGGCACTGCGCCGAATTATCATGAATAATATTAACTACTTATTTACCTCTCAGTGTCTTGAGGCAACTTAAAAAAGTACATTCTGTGTTTTTATTATTATTTAGGCAGTTAAATACTGCACAGTATTCTAGTACACCGTTTTCTTTATTTTCTTCCATCATACACAAGAATACGAGTGCGTGAGTCAATGTTCGCTCGTATGTGAGGCCTTGTCGAATAGTAGGTATCCTGTAGGTGGGCCATCGTGCGTGTTTTGTTTTCGATGTAAACTCGCGGAGATGAACAGGCCTGCTGCTACACAACCGCGAGGGGTCACTAGAAGACTATTCATACTTTTACTGAGGAGGTTCTGTGTCCCACTCTTATGTATTTACAGCTACAGCTCACCTGTCTAACTCTCTTCTTGGAGGCCGAGACCCTGAAGAGTCCTTGCGTGTGGAGCCCCACCCTCCTCAGGTGCGCCAGGCAGGCGGAGATCAGCGCGGGCACCTTCGGCCCGCCGCCCCCCGCCTCCTCCAGCCCTGACCACCCCCAGTCGCCGGAGTCGCAGGACTCGCTCTGGAAAACATGCGGAACTGCTTCATTCTTAAATAGTCGGGGCTAGAAATAAAAGTATTTGTATACCTATGCAGTATGCACAATAATCATTACTAAGGTGTAGAGTTAGGGCGTGTAGAGTTAAGCTTGGCTCTACATTCAATTTGATAATTTTTTACAGCGCGAGCCAGTGGCAACATTTTACATGAAATTGTGGTGTGAGATACTTATAATTTTGTTTCTATCAATTTCTATAGTTGTCTCTTAGATAAATAACTAAATCAATTTGTTTATTTATGAAAGTAGGCTCCCAAAGAGCACTTTTACACGTCCCAACTCTAACACCACAAATGGGCCAGTGCTGAGAAGAAACTGCGCAACAAACTCAGTCACTACTGTCAGCAAGCATACACGATACACGTACTCGTATAATATTTCAAATACAAATAACAATCTTGTACAAATATAATTAAGATGAAAAGGTATTATAATTGGAAAACCCACAAAACAATTAACTAAATTGCATCCGTTGATATACAAATAAACGTTATAACGAGCGGGCAGCCGTTGATTTGTAGATACACGTTAAAACTTTACGAGCTGTAAATCTTCTGACGAAGTCATTGCTTGGCAGATGTGTTCAGATATTGGGGTTTCAGAAATGGGAGAAAAAACATGCCGGAATATCATAAGAAAGCCACAAAGCAGTATTTGCTGGTGAAGAAGTAAATACATTACAGATGCAGATCTGTGTGCTAGCTAAAACACTTTATAAGGCCCATTATAATATTTTTTAGGTTTTTACGAAGGTATACATAGTTTCTCATATCGTAAAAGAGTGTCATTGTTACTCTGTTGGAATATCCCTATGGTCTTATCAGACTTGTTCTCCAATAAGTAGGAGTAATCACCCCACAAAGAGGGTTGTGTTTCGCTGAGGCAGGCACATCGGTCCTACGTGAAATGACTTGGAATCTACTCTACTGCTGGGGCAGAACTCATATCTTAAGTTGGTGAATAGCACTTTCAAAGACAGCCAATTTAAAGAAGGGTAAGATGGCCATATTAAGGCTGAATTTGAAGAGTTGTCTAAAGGTGTTAATGTTAATTTCGGTACTGTAGCTGTAAGGGACTGAATCTTCTTTAGATGGAATTGGTTATGGAGACGAGCTTACTGCGTCCACCTTGACTGGTGTACAACCCAGTAACCGCTTCTAAGCCCTCTTCGAACGATTACCGGTTGATTTCGGAGCGATAGAGATATCGAGCGCGTCATGCGATAAAATTATCCGGCCTTAATGAATACGGGAAGGCCGCAGGTAGGGATGCGCTGTGTTACCGATTTCTTTACAGAATTTTCACCATATTTTCATAACTTTATCAACTTAATTTGACCTTAACATGGCATGTAGTTACTCGTAGAATATCTAGAAAAACTGATCAGCAACATTGTAGTTGACTGCATACAAATTGGACCTGCGAAGCAGCTGGAAGTAGCACCTGGTCATAAATAGCCCGAAGTGACAGCAACAAGCTGTGGAAATTGATCCGGAAACATTTAAAAAGATGTAGAGAAGAAGTGATAACCCTTTCTTCAACGCCAGTTTTCAGTAATGGGGGTCGGGTTTATGGGATGAAGAGATAAATGTTCCACTTTAATTGCAATTGATAGAACAGTCTTTATCAGTGTTTTCTAGTCATCATTGACTGGTACTGGTAATTTGGTAAAAACTTACAACAAATTACTTAGAAAGTCAACACACCTGGTTTTCTGACTCCATAACCGATACAATCCCGGGCATCCCTATCCCGTAACCTGACACCAGTGACGTCACCGTGACGTCTGACAACGTCAGCGCGACCCATCGGCCCTGATGCGCGTGCGTTGTGTCGCAACGGACAATTTATAGCGTTTTTAAACGGATTTTGCCAGCTGTTCCCCGCGTGCACTGTTATGAAACTGAAATATTTTTGAGTTCATCTGTGCGGCTGAACCATTTAAGAACCTAGTAAGAGCAGCGGAGTAAATTTTACAGGAGCGCGAAAAAACACATTTTCGTTTACCATACTGGTATACTCAAACTTTTGAAAACTTTTTGATGTTTATTTTGAAGCTTAATAATTTAACTATATATTTTACAATAAATTAATTAATTAACTTTTAAATAGCAAGTTTTATGGCCCTTACTAACACTCAAATGGTTTTCTTTTTTTTTTTACTTCGAAAAAACCAGAATCCAAACCTAGTATGAGCGTACTTACTAGGTTTTAAAATGGTTATTGGGGTCAGGGTCCATTTCAATCTTACCATAGGTCGGTCAAAACAGGAAGTGATCACCGAATGGTAAGAGGCACATTGAATATCAGACCCAAGCTGGAGAGGCGTCGACTGATGAAGTCTACGCTCCACCCAGCGCCCATCCAACTCCAAAACCCCGAAACCTTTCAGCTCGAGTTGCAAAATTGTTTCGAATGCCTAGGAGACTGTGAAAATGTGGACGGATACAATGACAGGTTCGTGGAAATTGTCAAAACGACTGGGTTTAAGTTCTTTAAAACCCGTCGTTCAAAAGGAACCAAAAAGATCTCTGACCTCACCAATAAACTTATGGAAGAGAGACGGAACTTGGTTCTGCAATCCTCTGAAGATGCTGCTCAGTATCGGCATCTTAACAGACAGATCTCCAAGTCTTTGACCCACGACCTACGCCAATTTAATACAGATCGTATTAAAGAGGCGATTGAGCGTACCAAATTACCAGGCTCTAAAGTGTTCGCAAGGGATCTGTCTGTTGGCCAAAGCCAACTGACCAAGCTGAAGACCGAGGATGGCAGAGACATCTCGTTGTGGCCTGAGTTATTGGAAGAGGTTGAGAAGTTCTACGGACAACTACGATTGTATGTACACCTGTCACAAATCTAGCCGGAGAGCCAAGAGCTAGATTGACCCGACACTACATCGAAGATATCCCGGACATCAGTCTGTACGAGATTAGAATGGCTCTCAAACAGCTGAAAAACAACAAGGCACCGGGTGATGATGGAATCACGGCTGAGCTTCTGAAAGGATAGAGCTCGAGGGAAAAACGCCTATGGCATGGCACAGAAGTGTGGTGATACTCTTCTTCAAAAAAGACGACAAAATCTTGAAAAACTATCTCACTTCTGAGCCATGTCTACGTCCGAAACTATTCACCACCGCCCTGGAAGATGTTTTCAAGCTTCTGGACTGGAGCGGATTCGGCATAAATATCACCCACCTTCGTTTCGCGAACGATATCGTAGTCATGGCTGAGACCGTAGAGGATCTAAGCACAATGCTCGATGGCCTCAGTAGAGCCTCTCAACAAGTGGGTCTTAAAATGAACATGGACAAGATAAAAATCATGTCAAATGCCCGTGTTGTACCCACTCCTCTGAAGGTTGGAGACACTTTACTCGAAGTTGTTGACAATTATGTATAGCTGGCACAAACAGTCCAGTTAGGTAGGTCCAACTTCGAGAAAGAGGTCAATCGTCGAATCCAACTCGGCTGGGCAGCGTTCGGGAAGCTTCGCGATATTCTCACGTCCGAAATACCGCAGTGTCTCAAGACAAAAGTCTTTGATCAGTGTGTGTTGCCAGTGATGCTAGGTTTGTGATGGTCGGTAGGGGGGTGGACACGTATTTTCATTTCCCAGTAAGGCACATTGACCATTATAAAACCTAGTATGTTCATGCACTTACTAGGTTTCGAAATGGTTTATGTTACTTACTAGTTTTTTAAAATGGTCAAATTGGGTTTGTGGTGTAGTTACTAGGTTTGGAGTCCCTTGCCTTTTAGGCTTCTAGTTGTTTGATCGCAATTTCTGTCTTTGTATTCGGTAGGTACCTTAATATTATGTAGCTTTATGATAAAAAACGAAAATCTGAAAACATGTCCCTTACTAGGTTCTTAAATGGTTCAGCCGTGTGTTTCAGAGAGCTGAAGAGTTGCAATGGAGATTTCTGCAGCAATCCCACTTGAAATAAGTATGCTATGGATAATGGTAGAGTTACGTTTTGACAGCTCGTATAGAAAGTGTGGTAAGGTATCAGAGAAGGAAGGTAATAAGATAATGATATTGATATTGTGCTGTGTACTATCCTTGAATAAATAAGAATGTAGGTAATAAGAAGCATTAAAATGCAGCTCATGGTTTGTTATTTCTTAGATTCATGCCAGCTGTTGTTAAAACTATAATAGGCAACCATAGCAACGGAGTACCCGCATAAGAACCTAAGGTAGCCACTGGTTAGTCAATGTCATACAACAACAAAAGCATTTGTTGCATCCATTCACCTTACTCTAATACATCACATGAGCACCATCACTCAGTTTTATTGACTCGCTGATGGCTGTCAAACGAAACGATGCGCCCGCGCACCCACGTGGTCATTTGAGACGTCTAAGGTGCGTCTAGTCTGGGTCGTATATTGTAGATTATAATAATTCCTATGGGTACTACTACTCGTATTAAGCCCTTTTCAGAGCATGCATATCATGTCACATCTCAATTAGCTTGCTCTACCACCTCTTCCTTGGGACAACATATTGGCTGGTGCTGATTAACACATACTTCATTCTAGCCACATCACAACGGCAAAAGGTAAAAGCTTGTGCCCTGCAGTGGGACGGCTACATTGTTTTCAGTTGCGTTACTGTACTTAACACTTTTTAACTAAAACAATAATACAGTTTGCAGTAATTTACGACTAAATTAATAAGACATAATCAAGTGATTGGCTTTCAGGAAGAACGTTAGTTTCAGTTAGAAACAAATTAGTTAGTGTCACTAAACATAGCACCTAATCTTAGTTTACACGGCTGAGAAATACTCAGCGATTTACAATTTCATCATCGCCCGCCATTTAACGCACGTGACAACAACAAAATAACCAATGCAACCGCTGCGCTCGCGCAGGAAGCGGCGCGTAAACAAGAATGTTTTACTTTTCGCTGGCAACATTGTTTGGGGGGTATGTCATTACTTTTTCAGAGTAGTTTTCAGCGGGTATGAGTTGTTACTAAATAAAACTTAACTAGAAGGATTTGTCTGGACATATAAAAAGCTTTGTGATTAAACCTTCAAAATTCTGATTATCTTTGGAAATCACCTAAAAGCCTCACTGATTGACTGATTACATAAAATCTGTGATAAACTTAAGTAAATAATGCCTATCACGATGATAGATTGTAAAAATTAAGTGATTTTACATGCTTTTGTCTAAAAACTCTACATACATAATCTGTACTGACCAATGTCCTTAAGAGATCATTATTACCAGACAGCTACAGCTTCGTGTGATCAGTAGCTACAGTGAAAGTTAAAATTATTTTACATGCTCTTGAATATAAACTGTACATAATATTAACCAATTTTCATTAATACAAGAGATCATTATCACCAGACTGCTTAATCTTCGTGTGATCAGTAACATGGTGAGCAACCATGAGAGTCAGAAAGGCTTCATCAGATCTACAGCTTAATATGCCTTCCACATCATCAAATTAATTTACTACACTGTCCTCATACAGGGATACCCCAAGTCCCCTTCAGCCAGGGTACCAACGCCCCCTGGTGGACAGACCCAGGTGCGCGCCACGTCAACTCTTGGCCGACAGCGCGAACTATTTCTGACTGCTCAAATGCCGAATGCCAAACTCTCGCATCGCGCGACCAGCTACACGAGACCCGCTGCAACTAGAAATATTTTCTAGTTTTCGCTATTGCATCAACTTTTTTGTGAGTGTGGGACTAGAAAAAATACCGTTGGATAGATAGACGAGCTTTATTCACGAATTAGAGTACCCCTGCTAAATAATTTCGTGATGGTTTCCAGTTTGGAAGCTTTCAAGCTCGACCCAAACTAAATTATTAGGGATTCCCTAATGGGGGGTCAATGATCACTGAAGATGATGCTGATCCCTTGTTTCGAGATTTCTAAATATCGCCGAGGGTCAAGCAGAAGTCTTTATTTTATTTTATTTTAATTATAGACATTTCTTCGAGGATAAATACTGCACATGGAGGCTGTTATAGAATTCAAATTAAAAAATCTAATTAGTTATGAAAAACAATCTTGACAACAACTCATACAAACAAATAAATGGCTCTGTAAATAACTCTACACCAATATTGCAATGCAATTTTTAAAATCAGCTCGAGAGATCTAGAAAAACTGGTCCATTCCCCCAACAACACTAGTTACAGAAAAAAATAGCTGATAAATGGATACAATTGACACAGCAAAAGATTTCGATTCATCAAAACCTCTATTGATAGCGAATTTATTTTAGGAGCGCCGTGACGCTTGTCTACGCGTGCACTTGATAAATCACGGCAAATCGCTCGAAACGGCGGATTAATTGCGGAAATTAATTATATTTCAGTTTGTTTGTGGGACACATTGTTGAATTTCAGCCGTATTGTTACGCGCAAACTTTCGATGAGTCACAGCTTCGTATTTCAACTTTTAAATAGATAAGAGGGGATCTAGTACTTCTTATCAAAAATCGGAGTCTACGCTATGAACTTCATATTATGAGCTATTAAGTAATGCTCTGGAGCATCTCTATTTTATCAATCTATCCATTTGCAAATCGCAAAATTACCACATTTTAGTAATTCTAAAGTTTAGTAGTAGCAAGGCACATCTACTTACATAAACCTAATGAAGATCAAAAAAGGACTGTTTCGTCAGCTTAGTTAAGTTTTGAAACAGAACACACATTTCGCAATCCCAATCTTTAACGTGGGTATAGACTTGTAATAGAACATCGAGCATTCGTTGTTTCGCACCCTTTACTACTCGCGCTTTTGCCACGTTGGTACTCAAAAGTGTCCAAGAGGAAAAGAGGCGAGGTTCGAACCAGCGTTCTTCGGATCTCGAATCGGCCAGTTCAACCCCGACATTGTTGGACTAAGATCGTCACCGTGTACAGACTGTAGATCTTCTTCTTGTCAGTTAGGTGGGAATTCTGAGATGGTTCAGACTTAGAGTACAGGTGTGGTTGTAGAAGAATGTAGATATGATAGGTGTTATTTTGCACTCACATCGTCGCCCTTCTCGAGCGCGCCCAGCGATGCCAGCGAGGCGCGGGAGCCGCCGTGCTGTTGCCGCCGCAGCGCCCGCTCCGTTTCCACGCACTGCGCGAGCGGCACGCCGAACACGCTGCCACCGGTCGACTCTGGAAGAAGGGAATCGTCATATCAGGCCATTTAGTCTTTAGCTGCAGATCCTGGCTACACAGGAGTTGCAGCGGTAGAAACGAGAGGTGGCAATAGTTCCGGGCCATTTAGTCTCTACTAAAGGCAATACTATAATTATTATTATTCTGTGGCAATACTGTCATTTATGCTCGTTTTCACCATCAACCCCTAATTTTTAAGTGACCCCTATGGTAACACATAACAGGAATTTTGTTTTCATAGGGGTCACTTAAAAATTAGGGATTGATATTGAAAACGGGCATTAGCCTTTCTTTGCCAAAGGAAAAGTGAGGATTTAACTTGCACTCCTCATGCTGGCCAGGACTGGGGAATCCCATCAAAATAAGCACATCATCATTTAGCCTCCACTGCAGGAGTACGGCCCTCTCTGATTTATCAGAGGCAAATGGACGATATGCTGGCTACAAGGCAAGAAGGGTAGGGAAGGCAGGCTCAAAGACATCATTGTAAGTAATTAGGGAATTAATCAGATAATCCATAACTCTAATACACTACTTCTTAAAGAACACAAACTTTAGACCTGACAATTGGTTTGCATTGCGGGTTTCTTATTATAAGGTCTCTCTTCTTAACCCTAGTGTAGCACTAGTGGACGCTACTATGGCACATCGAGCCTAACATACTATGGCATAGCAACACTAAGTATATGCTGAGATGAGCCACGTTTAGAAATCTCAGTTTGTATAAAGGTCGGGCTATTCCGAGCGCTCTATTCCCAGCACGCACAATGGAGTAAAGGTGGGATGCTTTTAGACTGCGTGCGCACGTTTGATTTCATTTCGCGTGACGCAAGATTGAAGTGATCAACTGATAATGGAGATACCGTTAAGCATGAGCTGTAAGTCATTAATAAGACTGCTGACTTCTGTTCAGGTAGAGCAGGTTAATTCAGACTTGAAACAATCTTGAATAGCTGTGGAATATACGAGTACGCTCAGTCATAGTCTTTGCCCCATTTTGAGTCCAAACACCTCGTGGTTCAGTCGTTCATTTAAGGGCGTGAGTATAGGCAAGTTATGGAATGTCTATTTGTTTAATACTATCGCCATAATAATTTCTAGGATGTGTCTTGGATAAGGGAAATGCCTAATTATTACCATTTGTGCTGAGATTACACAGACATTTTTGAATTTTAACTAAATTATTACATCGCTAAAAGAACTCCCAAGTATTTTTATAAACCGAGCTGAAATCAAAAGATGAGAGATATGATGAAGAATCATTCTTACATTCTTACTATAATTCATTATTGTCGATAGGAAGTTCAAGACTGTCTCTATTATTTTAAATTACTTATAAACAGGGAAAATCCTTTCACGTGAAAATTCGCTAAATGTATTTTTCCAACCTTAGCCTACTAACAAAATTATCTACAAGACAACAAACCAGATGATAAGGAAAAGCCGAATCAGCCACTCAAAATTGGCTCGCGTTCAATATAAAACTGAAACTTTGTAAATTTATATCGAACAGTGTAAACAAACGAGACTGCGTCGTGCGAGTTTTATTTAACAATCGTATTTTAATATTTCATAGATGATATCATGGCAACAAAGTTTAATCATAGAGAGACTGGTTTTGCAGTTGTCGGTGTACTGTGCAGTAAATTCTATCCCATCAAAAACAATACTTGTCAAAAAAACCAAGTCTCGCAACTCAGTTGTTCTACGGTAAAAAGTTGTGAGATCCATGTAATACCAAGTCCAGGCCAGGAAATCTTCAACGTTTTACATAAATTATTGACTTGGCCATCGCACTAAATAATTTAATTTTCACGTGTTTTCATGCGATGGCCAAGTCAATATATTTATGTAAAACGTTAAAGATTTCCTGGCCTGGACTTGGTANGAAATATTCCATTCCCGATACTTTTAGTGCAGCCCTCGTAGCCTCCACTGCAGGGGTACGACCCTCTCTGATTTATCACAGGCAAATGGACGATATGCTGGCTACAAGGCAAAAAGGGTAGGGGAGGCAGGCTCAAAGACATCATTGTAAGTAATTAGGGAATTAATAAGATAATCCATAACTCTAATACACTACCTCTTAAAGAACACAAACTTTAGACCTGACAATTGGTTTGCATTGCGGGTTTCTTATTATAAGAAACCCGCAGGTCTCTCTTCTTAACCCTAGTGTAGCACTAGTGGACGCTATAGCACCTCCTCGAGCCTAACATACTATGGCCTAGCAACACTAAGTATATGCTGAGATGAGCCACGTTTAGAAATCTCAGTTTGTATAAAGGTCGGGCTATTCCGAGCGCGCTATTCCCAGCACGCACAATGGAGTAAAGGTGGGATGCTTTTAGACTGCGTGCGCACGTTTGATTTCATTTCGCGTGACGCAAGATTGAAGTGATCAACTGATAATGGAGATACCGTTAAGCATGAGTTGTAAGTCGTTAATAAGACTGCTGACTTCTATTCAGGTAGAGCAGGTTAATTCAGACTTGAAACAATCTTGAATAGCTGTGGAATATACGAGTACGCTCAGTCATAGTCTTTGCCCCATTTTGAGTCCGAATACCTCGTGGTTCAGTCGTTCATTTAAGAGCATGAATAAAGGCAAGTTGAGGAATGTCTATTTGTTAAATAGTAGTAGTAGTACAGTAGAATCATTTCTTCCTGAATAGAATCATTTCCTTTTGGATAAGGAAATGCCCAATTATTTATCATTTGTTCTGAGTTTATTCAGACATAATTAATAGGGGAGACTTATAAGTATATCGCTAAAAGAAATCAAAGTACCTACCTACTTTTTATTTTAAAAACGAGCTGAATTTCATTGATAGAAATCATGAAGAATCTTTATTGTTAATGATTCATGATATAAGTAAATCTAAATATTCTACGCGGGATGTTACAAGACTGTCTCTATTATTTTAAATTACTTATAAACAGGGAAAATCCTATCACGTGAAAATTCGCTAAATGTATTTTTTCCAACCTTAGCCTACTAACAAAATTATCTACAAGACAACAAACCAGATGATAAGGAAAAGCCGATACAGCCACTCAAAATTGGCTCGCGTTCAATATAAAACTGAAACTTTGTAAATTTATATCGAACAGTGTAAACAAACGAGACTGCGTCGTGCGAGTTTTATTTAACAATCGTATTTTAATATTTCGTAGATGATATCATGGCAACAAAGTTTAATCATAGATAGACTGGTTTTGCAGTTGTCGGTGTACTGTGCAGTAAATTCTATATCTGTTAAAGAGCATTTTAATAACGATATACCTAAGTCAGTAAATAGGTACAATGTTATATCTATAGAAGAGATAGGTATACAATAAACTAACTCGTTTTCAAGGAAAAAGCTAGGTTTGGGGTACTTTGGATTCAGTTCAATAAATGATAACATAATATGGGATAAATAAGCGAACATAAGGTCTTTCTATCAACCTATCTGGCCAACCAGCGTGAGGATTGTATGCAAAAGGGAGTCATGCTCCTGTAGTGGACTAAATTATAAGCTATTCAGTGTCCTGAGCCTTGTCATTAGTCGTAGCTGCATCCCTTAGTCATCGAATACGACTGATGAACTTCCGATGCACCGCAATAATAATAGTGTGTGTCTGGCCTAAGGGAACGCCCGCTGTACACTTTTTCTGGTCTCTACAAGGTCCTTATTGAGGTTAAACCCAGATAGAGGCCACAATCAGTCAGCCACCCACCGCGAGTGTTTACCGCACGATATTGCCGCGATGAAACGCCGCCATCGGACCGCGGCCATTTGTTTTTACGTGCGGTGAGGAGTTACGACTGGAATACCAGCTATTAATCACACGTGGTTAGTGTTGGACTCTTTAGAAAAAGACGTGGTTAGTTTTGGACTCTTTTGCGTAGAAAGATCTACGGTTGGCTGGCTGTGGACCTAGTGGTTCAGAGGTTGATTCGGGCATTGCAAATTCATAGTCATATTCTTCTAGCTAACCATTGTTTGATGTTTCTTAAAGCACACTCAAAATAATCATGGATAACCTACTTATCATACCACAATCTAAAGATGGTAACTAGCTGGCTTTAAAATTTGACTACGAAAACATGTTATAAGTTACTAATAATACATATTTAAGATATTTTTGTTTTCCCATCCCTATTTTGGGGAACGAGTAAGCAATGGTGGCGTTAAAACTGTTATTTTTAATTTTCATCTAAAACAAAACTAGGTAATTATTCACAGTTTTCTTTTTAAAATAATGAGCCTCAGAATTTCATAATCATAATCATAATATCTTTATTGCTTCATGTGGTACCTACAAACAAGGTATTAAAAATAAAATAGTCCCAGAACATGAGCCCTGTGAGGGCATTGCAACATTATACATAATATTAATTAATTAAGCTTAATCTAAATTATTTTAATAATGTAAGTACAAATTCTAAGTACAATAAATTCTTTTCAAGACTAGATTAGAGTTTCAGAACCAGAGGGCCTAGTGCGAGTTTACATCTAACGCGCTCACTAGCGAGCGCGTCAAAAAATGACATTAAATGTATGACGGATTGTACAGCGCCCCTAGCGGGAAACGTTCAAAAACTAAAATTTTCATACATTTTTTAAACTCACACTCAGCCCACTGAAAATACAGGGTGACCTTAATTAATGGTTTGAACCTATAAAGAAAAGTTTCTGGTACCTAATTAGAATTTTGGAATAATTTGAAGACCATTATGTTGACATTAGCAATGAAAAACACTCGAAATCCAAAATCAGTAATAAATATTTTAGTACTACGAATCTTTTACTGTAAGTTCAATTTACGTGAACCTACCCTGTAGTCATGATAATAAATTATGACAATTTTATTCACTAAATAACAACAATCTTGTTATTTGACGCAAACTCTTACAAACAGCCAGACGAAATGATAAGCACTATTTTGATACCGCGGCTCTGCGTGGGCGTAATGAATAATTGTTTGCAAAATTACTCCTTTGACTTTGG